AGGAGGAGGAGGAGGAGGAGGAGGAGGAGGAGGAGGAGGAGGAGGAGGAGGAGGAGGAGGAGGAGGAGGAGAAGGAGGAGAAGAAGGAGAAGAAGGAGAAGAAGGAGAAGAAGGAGAAGAAGGAGAAGAAGAACAAGAACAAGAAGACAGGGAGCGAAGAAGAAGAAGAAGAAGAAGAAGAAGAAGAAGAAGAAGAAGAAGAAGAAGAAGAAGAAGAAGAAGAAGAAGAAGAAGAAGAACAACAACAACAACAACAACAACAACAACAACAACAACAACAACAGAGGAGGCAGGGAGCAAAGGGGGACAGAGCCCCAGAGGACATGTGGCAAATTAGAAAGAATGCCTCTCTCTCCACAAGAAACCCATGTCCACCCAACAGTGCTGCCAGAATGTAGATTAAATCTTGAACGAGCATAAAGAAATGTGCTAAAGGGCAGGGTGGACTCTTGGCGGGCCTGAGGTTTGGAACAAGCTGGAGAAAGCATGTTTGGTGATCCTGTCTTCCTTGAGTCGGAAATGGCTAGAGGAGGAAGGAGAATGTTTGCAGTGAGTGTACATTACCAAAGTGGGGGGTTATGATTTGCACTTTATAGAGTTGTGAAAATAAGTTGCTGTGTGGGGCCAAAAGGTAAGCCAGGCCCACGGCCGTGGAATGAAAAACGATGCATTGTCCATAACAAAACGAGGCCGCGGAGCCTTGTTTAAATCCCACCAGCTAAACATGTGTTTTGAATACCAGCATTAGAACTCCGGAGTTTCTCCAATTTTTTAAGCTGAATTATAGCTGGGTGAGCCAAGTCAAATGCCATGTTTATCCTGAAAAACAGCTCTGCAGTATGGGAATTTCAAAAGGCGAAGGTCAAGTTCAGGTTTCTTTCTCAGGAAACCTAACGCAATTCCAGATATACTGAATTAAACGAGTGACTTCTCCAAACAAGAGGATTATCAATATCCATCCTGCATGGCAATCGTTATGGTGGCTCAGACTGGGCCATAAGATCCCAGGCCAGAGGACCACAGGGGGATGCCTGCCCCCTCTGCTTTCTCCAGTACAAGGCAGTGGTGAGCTACATGGACCCTGGAGTCAAGAAGCCAGGGCCTGAAGCTCCTTTATGTTCCTAAGATCTCTTTTACAGAGTTACCATCCCGTGCTTTGCTCTTGTCATCTAAACAGAGAGACTGGCGGTAGGTCCACATGAGATGGTGCATGTACCGGTAGCCATGCATACCACAGTGGCCGGACTGTAGTAAGTGCCCGGTAAATGTTAACCAGGAAAATTTTACTGGGCTTCTCATGAGTGCCATACTTAGCACCAGGCTCTGAATTGGGGCTGTGGGATACAAATGATAATTATAGTAATGGTGATTACTAGCCAACATTTGTCCAACGTTTACTTTGTAAATACTAACTTCTTAAGTCCTGTAACAGTGAGCTAAGTGGCATTTAGTCTCAGGAAACGGAGACGCCTGATACCCAATAAGCTAGCTCTCTGACTTCACAATCGAAGCGGGAAATAGGCTCACAAAGTAGACAGTGGTAGCATGGAGTTCTATTCGCAGGTAGTTTCTCAATAAATAATGATTCCGTCCCCCCTCTTCCCCTTCTCTCTGTGTCCCCATTACTGTAAAATACGTATCCCACTGGTGGCTGATCAGTAGCATTCTCTTTGGAAGCTGGGGATAGGTTCTTTCATAGCACGCGGATGACCTCGTGGGAAATTTTTTCCTATTCTTCCCCAGCACTCTCCCCCGCATTCACTTTAAGCCCAAGGCTGGCTGAATAGTGGGACCAGAGAACAGGGGTTTGCTCTCCTGCCTGCACTTCGTCCGTTATAACGCGGTGTTTATTGACTGTGTAACCGAGTTATCTGTGAGGCCGGTGTTCTCTGTTTAACAGAAGACTCCCCACTTTGGAGAAGCCCATGCTTTCCTGTCCCTTGAGCTTGGCAAAGCTGCATGGGTCAGGGGGAAGCCCTGGTGCTCGAAAAGCCAGGACTGTCGGCTCGCCTGGGTCCCTCAGCTCCAAGAGACCGACATATCCAATCCCTTGCATTGGACGCAGCGTGAAGTGGGTGCTTAGGAGGCGGGAATGGCGTCTGCCTTTGAGTTGAGGCAGTGTCATGTGTGGTTATTGTGTCTTTTGCCAAGGTAACCTCTCTCCATGAGACATGATCGGCAGGATTTAGCCGGCCTTCAGGAATGCACTCCTTCAGTAACAGATCTGTGGTTTTTGTGGGCTCACCCCAGACAGGAGTACGGGAACCTGGGTGAAAGCTGGGCATTGTTAGGGCCCTCGGGGGCATTTCCCTCTTGGGATGGAGTTGGACCTCATACGCACACGAGCTGACATGTATTTCCATCAAGATGCACACACACGTTTCACTTCTAAAGAGATGGCTGGATCGTTGTGTGATAGGGGAGGGGTGGGAGAGCTTACATTAAGATGACCAGACATCCTACTTTTGGTGGACAGTCCCAATTTTTAACAATTTGTCCCACGTCCCACCATGGGATGCAGGACAAATTGATAAAAATTGGGACATCTGGTCACCCTTAGCTTACATCACCCACAGGCAGCATTCCTTTCTGAAATCTGAGGGTGGCTGGAAGGTGAAGCTCACTTAAGGACTAAAGAATCACACCGGCTCCATGGTGCACCTTGCCTTGGGGAACCTGGATCCCAGCTATTTTCACGGGACATGGAGGGGCTCCTGGATTGAAGGCGTGAGAAATCCCAGGCTCAGGTGGAGCCGCTGATGTTAGTTCCCTACCCAGGCAAGGCCTGTGGTCAGTATTCCGATAGGATCGGCCAGGTTTATTCCGTGTCCATCTTTGTGAAAAGCTGGGCGTCCGTGTAGGGAGGGCTCAGGGACCCTTGTCAAACTGTCTTTCCAGAGTTTGACATTTCGCTGCCAGGAGCCAGCACTCCGAGGAATCCTGGCTACAAGAAATGCTTGTAAAATGTGAGATGTGGAGGCTGGCAGGGTCCAAAAACATTCCAGCAATACTTGAAAATATAAGGCCAGAGCACCTCCTGGGAAAACTGGGGCTGGTCCTGGGAGCTTTGGCTACGGATGGCCACACGTAACGGGAGGTGACACGGGCTGGCTGTTGTGGATTAGAAGTTGTAGCTGGATCTCCAGAGGCCCCAGCCCTTTGAGACAGAATGTTGATGATTTGGGGGTTGCTGATAATTCTGAGAGCCCCGGTTCCCAGATTGAGACCTGAAGGTTGAGGGGGTCAGCAAGAAAATTTGTTTTGCCAAAACCGGTTTGGCTCAGTGGATAGAGTGTCGGCCTGGGGACTGAAAGGTCCCAGGTTCGATTCCAGTCAAGAGCATGTGCCTTGGTTGCAGGCACATCCCCAGTGTGTATGTGTGTGTGTGTGTGGGGGGGGGGAGGCGGGGGGGAGTGTGTGTGCAAGAAGCAACTGGTCGATGTTTCTCATCGATGTTTCTAACTCTCTATCCCTCTCTCTCCCTCTCTGTAAAAAATCAATAAAAAATATATTTAAAAAAAGAAAGAAAGAAAGGAAGAAATCTCGTTTCCCCAAGTGCCTGCAGAAGAGAGATAGCTGTGGTTGGGGAGCGAGACATTGAGGCTGTCTTTGCTGTGTTTGCTATACCGGTAAAGGTTGTTGTTAGGAGGCCTTGGCTTAGGCTGAAAGCAAAGACAATGGTTTTTATGAAACAGGTTAACAGGAGTGAGGATGAGGGGTTGATAGGGAGTGGAGACAGGAAGTGGAAATTCATGATTTAAATATAGAGCTAGATCCGGAATTCAAAAAGTCCAGGGGACACCTCGATGTGTCCTTTTCAACATGGCTAAAATTAGACTTGATTTCCAGACCTCTTCATCCCAGCAAATCAAAACACACAAAAAAGTAGTTCCTTCCCCAGGACTCACCCCATTTCATTAAATGGTATCCTGTTTGTGTGGAGCCCCAAATCTAGGAGTAATATTTTTTCTCACTTACTTTCCTCATCCATGATTTATATAAAATCCATCCATATGTCTCTTCTACTACTACCCTGTGAGCCTTCGTCTCACCTAGGCCCCCTCCGTGGTTGCCTTTTGTCCATTCTTGCCACCGATGTACCATCTGTATCGAAGTCAGAGTAAAGGCGGCTTTTCCACTGGCCTCTGTTTATAACCTAGGGTTGGAAAACCGCGGCTTGTGAGCCACATACGGCTCTTTGGCCCCTTAAGTATGGCTCTTCCACTAGATACCATAGCCTGGGCGAGTCTGTTTTGAAGAAGTGGCGTTAGAAGAAGTTTAAGTTAAAAAAAATTGGCTCTCAAAAGAAATTTCAATCGTCGTAGTGTTGATACTTGGCTCTGTTGACTGATGAGTTTGCTGACCACTGCCCTAGGGAACGGCTGGCCTTGGCTTGAGAAGGCCCTTGGCCATCCCTCTGGTCTGAGCTTTACTGCTTTTGTTGGTCGTGCTTGCATCAGATCGCATTCTTCTACTCCATCTTGCCCACTCTCAGCCCCACCTGAGCCCCGAGCACTAGCAATTCCCTACCTGGAATACCCCTTCCCCACTTCTCCCTCCCACAGCCACTAGTCTGATATTCAGACTTCAACTCGAGCCTCAGCTTCTCGCAGACTCCTCCCCTGAGGAGTGAACTAGCCACTCAGTCATCCACTGTCCCACCACTCTGCTTGGTTTTTGGAGAGGGCTCATTCCTCTTGAGTACCCGGCTTTGTTTGTTGTTTGGTGGCTCGCCTGTCCCTCTCCCTGAGACTGTGAGCTTCGTGAGGAGGGCCTTATCTGTCCCGTTCCCTGTATCCCCAGTGACCAGGGCAGTGCTGATTCAGAAGGAGGCAGTAAATCTGTGGCATGAAGGACTGAACCTGCTGTACTCAGCCGAGCACTGGGAAGTTCATTGATGACCTCTGGTCGTGGAAGCACCGATGTGTGTATACTGTTAGGCCTTCCTTCCTCCTGCACCACTTCCCCAGGTCTGATTGCTGGTTTCTGTTCCCTTGCAGCCGCCCATGCCAGCTTCCTTTCCCGTCAACAGTGCAGCAGCACAGCCCCATGTCCTCCCAGAACTCCTCGGTCAGCGGGCCTCTGCACTCCACCTCCTTGCCGCTGCCGCTCCCGGTGACCCTGGCCGCCCCGCAGCCTCCGCCTGCCGCCTCCCCCAGCCAGCAGCTCGGCCCCGACGCCTTCGCGATTGTGGAGCGAGCCCAGCAGATGGTGGAGATACTGACAGAGGAGAACAGGGCGCTTCACCAGGAACTTCAGGGTTACTATGACAACGCTGACAAGCTCCACAAGGTATGTGACTTCTGGATGGAAGGGGAGGGAGAAGGTTCTTTAAAAGGGACATGATTCTTTATATATATATACACACATACATAAGTATATTATATATGTTATATATCATACATATATGTTATAAAGATACATACATAATATATATATATATACATACAGATACACACACACACACACACTGAGTGGTCAGATTATTATGATCTCTGAACGCTTAATAATCTGGCCACTCAGTGTAGACTGACCACAGAGTTGGGATTTTAAAATAAGGTTTTTCCATGTATAAGAACTGCATTGTGGGTAGTTAGAAAGAAGCTGAGGACTTACTAGCCAGAGGCTGGGGACCACTATCTCCTGGTCCCTTGACATATCAAGATTTGCAAGCTTTCCCTTATTCGTAAGTACACTGAGTGGCCAGGTTATTAATGCATTCAGAGATCATAATAATCTGGCCACTCAGTGTGTGTGTGTGTGTGTGTGTGTGTGTGTGTGTGTGTGTTTGTGTGTAGAGTTGGGAGTGGGGGTGGGGGGCGGCATCATTGATGAGAGAGAATTAATAGGCTGCCTCCTGCCCTTACTGAGGATTGAGCTTGAAACCTGGCATGTGCCCTGATGAGGAATCGAATCATGACCTCCTGGTTCATAGGTTGATACTTAACCACTGAGGCACACTGGCTGGGCAGGACAGAATTCTTTACCTGCTTGTTGGGGTGTTGATTCGTTGACCCCTTGCCAGCAGATCCCTTTTTATGCCAGGTACCGTGTAAAGCTCGAAGGAGACAAAACATAAATATGGTGTGGTGCCTGCCTACAGCTTACAGTCCAAAAGGGGAGAGTTGCCTAAGCTCATACCTGCAGTGGCACTCCAGGGGCTGCATTGGGCACAGCGGAGGTGGCCCTGGACCGGAGACTCAGAGGCTAAGGAGTATTTCCTCAGGTGGACAGTGTGGAAGAGGGAACGCCCAGCGTAGCACAGGGAATGAGTGGAGAGAGACAGGTTTCTGTTAAATCTGGGACTCTCAGGAGCCCTCTGATCGCCATGCTAGTTTCCTTAGCTATGTCTGCGAAAGCAGCTAGCCCATTCTCAGTGCTGTCTCAACGTTGAGGGTCAAGATAGAGTTACTGTGTCCTTTCTCTGTGCTTGTGACTTGTCAGGTGGGAAGATGCTGTGTAATTCCAGCCTGGGTCGTATCGTGGGCACCTTAGAGGGTATGGCAGCCTTTAGCCATAGGGCTTGACGCTGAGAGCCTGAGTCGATAGAAAAACATCCAGCAAGGTCAGCACTCGAAATGCTGCAGGTAAAACAGAAGACGTGAGGGGAGCAAAGGAAATGGGCGTCTTAAGGCAGCAGAGCCACAGGGCACTGGAGTTTCCTCTCTGCAGGCAAGGAGGAATGTGTGGTGGAAGGCATCTTATAAGAGTCTAAGTCCCTGGCTCCGCCCTGGACCATCAGAAAGGGAAGGATATAAACCACGGTCACTGGGTTCTGTGTGACAGGTAGTGGTCCTGGCTGGCCATTTGGTGGTCACTGTTAGCACTGATCCCTCAGGGGAAGCCTGCCTGTGTTGCTGGTCAGGGGTCAGCACAGTCAGCTCCTCCCAGCTTTTGAGGCTGGCGTAGACCGCTGGGAGCAGTGGGTTTGGTGATAGATACATACAGGGACTGAATCTTCCCCAGCGCGTCTGCGCGGAGCTTCCACCGAAATGGTCCGGAGTCAAGACCAGGCTTGGCTCAGAGAGCCCTGGCTGCCTTTATTGGAGGGAAAATGAGAGCCAGAAACACACAGCTGCCGAGAGTGCTGCCTCGCTCCAGGCACACCACGGGAGGCGGGAAACAGCCTGCGTCTCCGGCCTTGGCTGTGGTCGCTGCTCAGGCCTCAGCTTGCCTCTGGCACCTCCCAGGGCACGGTCTCACACTGGAAAGCACCAGCTCAGCACTTCTGCGAAACAAGCAGTTCTTTCTTCTCCCTGATGGAGCTCTGTGGCACACGCATCCAGACGCTACGCAGACCCACCTGAGGGCAGAGTTTGGTTCTGAGTCTTTTCACATGGGTGTTTTTATAGTTTCATGGAGGCGGCAGAGATTGGGAGGTTTTGATATGCTCCAGTGACTTGTTTATTAATATGTACTTTAGCGACTTATAACATGCATTTCTTTCTTGATTTTGATGCACATTTCTAATTTTTTTTTTTTTTTTTTTTTTTTTTTTTTTTTTTAGAGAGAGGGAGGAAGGTGTGAGTGGGGGGAGAGAAAGGTAGAGACATAGAAACATCAGTTTTGTGGTTGCATTCATTTGGTTGATCCTTATATGTGCCCTGACCGAGGATTGTATCCACAACCTTAGTGTATCTGGACCACACTCTAACCAATTAAGCTACCTGTCTAGGGCTTACATTTCTATTTTGAAAAACAAAATTCATCTTCCAATGACTCAATTCCTTGCACAGGGGATGATTCTTAAACTTGGTAACCAAAAGGATTTCGATGACTTCTGGAAAAAGAGAAAAGTAAAACTGTTTGCCTTCTGGAACCCAAAACTCCTCCGGTCCCTTGACGACCATAAATAGTTCTATAGGCATTACCTTTCATTGATCTACCACACCTCAGACTGGAAAGGCTCATATGTCAATTTAAAAGCTCAGGTTTTGACAAACACTTGTCATACCCATCACTAATTCTGTAGCCGTTCTCGACAACTTAGGACCACGAGCCAGAGGAGCTGGGTGAGTTCTGACAGCATTCCCCGGCTGGCTGCGTGCCCAGCTCGTCCTGCCCCAGGTCTCCCTCGGCTCCGCCTCACTGTTCAGTTGTCTCTCAGCCGCTGCTTAGGACTCAGGTCTGGGAAGGGGACTGTCAGGTGACGACTTTGCTTCTCAGTGATGGGGACTGTCACTTCGGGGTGGAGCCACTGCGCTGACTGAAGGATGTGCTGCCTGCCCTGTGCCAGCAATAACATCCGGGCTGGATCCTCGCGCATTGGGCATGCTCAGAGAGATTCAGTGGGAGGAACAAACCGAAAACAGAAGAAGGTTTGATGGCAGGCTTAGCCCGTGCACGCTGTGCTTGGAATATGGCAGGAAAGAACGACCGAGCTCAGAGACACCAGCACACAGCCCAGACGGGGAGGCCGCTTCCAGAGGCAGGACGTGGCGATTTTCCCTGTTGGTGTTGGAATGAGGGCTGAGGACCCTCAGGAAGGGAGGTTGTTTTTCAGTGTTTCCTTTTACTCACTCATGTGCTTCGCTTTCCTCCCAGTTTCCCTGACACAGAATCAGTGGACAGCACTCCCAGCAGGACCACACTGTTTTGTCCAGTGGGTTGACCTAAGAAGCCATCAGGGCGACGGCCATTTGGAGGGAGAGGGCTGGATGGCATGCGAGGCATCGACGGCTACCCCAGGCCTGCTGCTGTGAAGCCCCCCTCCTGTCAGCTCAGCAGTGCTGGCTCTGACCGGGCAGCCTGGGACTCAGCATTCCATGCATGTGTGCCCAAGGTTGTCCCCGTCCCAGGCCTCCCCTCGGCTCAGCCTCACTGCTCAGTTGTCCGACCGGCAATCCGGGACTTGGACAGTAGGCCTGCCCTGAGCCCTGTGGGTCCCTGAGCTGTGCATAGGAAGGTGCTCAGGGGAAAGCCAGGACCCAGAGCTTGGCATGGCTGGGATTTCCTCAGGGCCTTGTCGGCCTATTGGCTTCATGGCGCCAGGGCTTTCCAGTCTGCTCGTGGCTCTGTTTCCGGAGAAAGAATGCTTCTCTGTGAGTTTAAGGGCCCTTGGCCTAAGAGCTTGCCGACATCTGGGTCAGAAGGGAGGATGGATCTGTGAAGGCAAACCCCGCGTTCTCTTCGTAAGACCAGGCTCAGGCTCTGACCTGGCCCAGTTGGTGATTATGTCAAAGTCAGTCTGTCCAACCTTGTCTTCATCAAACATCAGGGAGGGCTTAAGATGCTCTGAACACGAGGGATTTGAAGAAGAAGGTGAGGTGCTTGTTCTGAAGGTGTGCACAATTAGAACTCAGAGAGCTTTGGACTTGGAATTCCGAGAATGGTTCTAGTCCAATTTCCCACCCCTTAGGAATCCTTGCGTCATGTCCTAAAAGGAGGCTATTTATTTATTTATTTATTTATTTTACTTGAATGCTTTCAGGGGTGAGAAGCTCACTCCTGGGCATAGTCCACTCCTGGAAAATGTAGTTACGAAATTCTTATGTTGAATCAAAATCTGCATCATTTTAACTTCCTACCTATGGTCATCGTTCTGTCCTCTATGACTACCATAAAGGAGACTAATCTGTTTCCACTGTGGCAGCTGACAATTCTCACAGGAAGTATCTTATTCTGAACTAGAACTAGCATAGCAGCGGTGGTATTTTGGAGCCATCTCTTTTGAAAACAAGATACATTAAAAAGAAAGAACATGATTTGTGATAGAGCTACAAACAGGATTCAGGACATGCTGTTCTGTCTGCTGCCACATTACTGACAGTCATAATCTCTTTAGGAAAAACAGGCCTTATGGAAATGAAAGGACCGTGAAGTATCAACTCTGGTACTAGGAAGGCCTTGGAGAAAATAACATAGTACTGACAGGAGCCCTAGTGTTCTCAACTCTGCTGCCCTGGTCAGCTGCCACTAAAGAAACCCTGCAACTCCCAGCCTTTCCCTGTCCTTTCCTTGGATGTATCTTGGCTCTATTGTAGCTTCCTGGGGCACTAACCACATTTTCTCTCCTTTAAGTTTTGGGTTCCCGGCTCATGGCATCACTGGCTTCAGCCTCTCCCGCTGGTTCCTCTGCCGCCCTTACTCCTGCAGTGTTGATGCTCCCCATGGGTGGCCCTCTCATCTGCTGTTGCTCTCCCTGAGTGGTCTCCACTGTCTGATTTCATGTCTTCTGCACGTGACAAAGTTCCTTTCCTTACTTTCCCACCTGTACCTCTTCCTGCTAAGGGGAAATCCTCGCCAAGATGTTCTGCTGGCTCCCCAGACACAGTAACTCCAGCACTGGATTGGTTTTCTTTCTTTGCTAAACCGGTTGTTCTTACAATCAACCATTGATCTCGGTCAATCTTATTGTTCTGTGCTGTCTTTGATATCTTTCTTCCTTCCAGTTCAGACCATCACTGAGACCTGTTGATTCTATTCCTTTGGAATCTGCCCTTGTAGTTACCCTAGTTCACGCTTTGTCGTCGGTCATTGAGCTGTTTACATTAGCTTCTTCCTTGGACTTTTTTTCTCCTGCCCTTTCTTCCCACCCCCACTCTCCAATCCCATCCTGAGTTTATTTCTGTAAAACCTCAGGTAAGACCATGCTGCCCTTATGCTTATATGGGAGGTGTCCTCCCATAATTTTCCCTGGCTCATAAAGTCCTTCCACTTGGCCCTGGTTCCCAGCACAGAGACATGAATTTTCATGGCGAGGCCTTGGCTCAGGTCTCATCTTCTGCCTAGAATGCCAACGCCCTTTGGCCTTTTCTTTTCCGCTTGGCAAAATCCCTATTCATCACTCAAGACTCATTTTCAATGGCATCTTCCCTGAAATCTTATCTAAAGAAACTCCCCTCAGCCCTGCAAAATGACCTTGTCTCCAGGTCTGTCATTGCATTACACCACCACACCCCTTATGACTTTGCTTTACTGAAGTGGATGTGTCTGGGTGCAGCCAACTCTAGACATTGAGTTCCTAAGACCAGGTATCCTTGGCACCCAGACACACAGTGAGTGTACAATAGACACTTGTTAGGACGTGTTTTGTTTATAGGAACCTCAGCAGGGACTTTTGATCAGGGCAATTGGGGTGCCTGCCTCCTGGTGACATAGCTCTCCAATGGAGACCAAAAAACATGGTGCAAGTCCCTTGGTGTCCAATGAGGGGCACTAGTGCTCTCAACCCTGCCTGCCTTGCCTCTGATTCCAACTTTTAACAGTTCTTCAAGGTTCTGTGTTTGCAGGCACTCTTTATCCTTTCTCCTGCATTTATTTAGGTCGCACAACACTAAAAGATGGTTTATTGATAGCTACTTCAGAAACTCACTATAAGTTAGACTCCTGTTAACACAGTTAGAGCTACCAATTATAGATTTATATATGCCACAGATTATATGCTCTCCCAGTTACAGCTCTTGATTTAGTGAAATACAAAAAAAGAACAACAACAACAAAAAATGGTTTAATCCCATATTTTTCAATTCCTTCATACAAAGGGATTGTCTGTGGTACATTTGTTTATAATTAGATTCAAGTCCACTAGTCCTTTATATAGATAGTTTCATAGAAAAGGGAGTAAAAATAATAAGTAAAGCAGCATTTCCTCAAGTGTGTTTTATGTTTCTTTGGGGATGGGAACCTGAAAGGAAGTTTTCTGGATGAGCGCTGTATTTGGAGTCTGAAAACTTGGGTTCCAGTTGTGGTCCTTCAGTTGTTCTGTGTTTAATATTTTCCCTAATGTTAACTGGGAATAATTATATGTATAAAACCCTAAGCGACCGGACGACCGGCCAGTAGCAATGACGCACACTGACCCCCAGGGAACAGACGCTTAATACAGGAGCTGCCTCCTCGTGGTCAGTGCTCTCCATATCAGGAGTATGCTCAGCTGACTAATGGGGGCCAGATGCTGGGCTCATGGCTGGCAAGCACAGTTGTGGTGGCACAAGCCTCTCCCACCTCCTCTGTGGTGCTACCTAGCAGCAGCAGTGGTGGTGGCAAACACAGTAGGCTGGGATGAGTGGGAGTGGTGTGGTGGAGGCCCTGGCTCAGGCTCCTCTCTGGCCACCTGCCGCTTCTCACACTACTATATCCCTCGAGGAGTCCCAGATTGCGAGAGGGTGCAAGCCAGGCTGAGGGACCCTACCAGTGCATGAATCCATCCACCAGGCCTCTAGTTAGAGTTGTAAATTGCTAATAGTTGTAAAATATAAGAGGCTTTAGTTATGTTTAAATTCACCCTTTCTGGAATTGGTACAGGGAGATTTTCCCAAGGTGACATCAGATGGTCCAGCCAGAGTTGTGAGCCTGCTATTTGCAGGACCCTAATGTAGCCCTCAGAAGGCAGACAGGGGGGGGGGGGTGAAATCGATTACACCATTTGGTAGACATGAAACTTGAGTTGCAGAAAAGACCACATTGAAGATATAGCAAAACACTTGGAATGTCAAACAGTCAGTGTAGACCGGCCAGTGTGGTTCAGTAGTTGAACTAGGAGGTTATGATTCGATTCCTAGTCAGGGCATATGCCCAGGTTGTGGGCTCAATCCCCAGTAGGGAGTGTGCATGAGGCAGCTGATCAATGATTCTCTCTCATCATTAATGTTTCTGTCTCTGCCTCCTTTCCTCTCTCTGAAATCAATATAAACTTTTTTTTTAAGAATTGGTGTAACTAAGGCATCGATGGGAATGTCAGAGTCCCACTTTCATGTCACTTCTTTCTTGTAGTTTGAAAAAGAGCTTCAGAGGATTTCGGAAGCCTATGAGAGTCTGGTCAAGTCCACCACCAAGCGAGAGTCACTGGACAAGGCGATGAGAAACAAACTGGAGGGCGAGATTCGAAGACTTCACGACTTCAACAGGGACCTCCGAGGCACGTCAGCTTCCGTTCGTGTTTTCTCTCTATCCCAAAGCGCTGTGTGACCAACAGCCTGACTTCAGGTCCCGGCTGTGTGAGATAACCCTGGGAATTCCAACCACCTGGGAAAGGGCTCTCATAGAACAGAAATGTTGCTTTCTGCCTTGTAGGGTGTAGGCTTCAGCACTGAGCCTGAGAAGTGACAGCCTATATGCGAAGTGAGGGAGTAGGTGTGCAGCTGCTTCTTGCTTGAAAAGTCCTTACTGTGACTTGTGACTGTGAGTGGCAACTTTGAAAAGATCACTGTTAGATGCTCAGCTCTTCCCACACATGCTGAGTCATTCGGTGGCAGGCTGTAAAAGCCGATGCTGAACACTTGCTTGGTATAATATAGAAGACAGACTCAACATGTGTCCCTCTGGTGGAAAAATAAAGGCTCAATAGGCTGATAGATGTGTCTATAATAATAAAAGTATAATATGCTAATTAGACCGGGTGACCTTCAGGGTGCCATAAGGAAACTGGTGCAGGACAGCTGGGGGAAGGAAGGCCTGCTCTTGCACGAATTCCAGTGCATCAGACCTCTAGTATATGTATATACTTCCCCAAAACTAGGAGTCACCTGCTACAGGGTCTTGGCAACCCTGACTTAATGCATAAAATTTAACTTCACTTTCAGTCAGCCGAGCCATTTTTCAGTTGCCTTGTATATAGTCTCTAGGTCCAACTTTTTTTATTACAAACCTTTTTATCTTGCATATCGTGTACATTCCATGAAGACCTAATAAGCCAAATTATTTAATTGAATAAATGAAAATTTGCCAAGTGGTTTGAACAAATGTAGAACTAACTGCATAGAATTTTCATCCATTAGGTCAATTTGACTTTTTTTTTTTGTATTTATTTAATTAATGTTCCAAGATACAGGTAGCATTCATGGGCTAAAACAGAGGTCTCATGGTCAGAGTTAGACTAGGGCTGAGTTTGGGGCCAAAGAGTCAACCCTTTGCAAGGACTTCATATCAGAAGTTTGCTCATATGCAGTAAAGTGGTTTTTCTTGGAATCTGTTCTTAGCGGCCTCCTGCGGGTGCACATCTTGGCATTCCATTGCATAGAGGCACAGTGTGGCACCTGAAAACTTTTTTTTGACATTTTGGAATGGATTGTTCCTCCCCAAAAGTTGCTCAGCTTGGGGCTCCTGCCTGAGCACCTTTTTATACCCAGCTTTTGGCTCCCATGTCATTTCTCAGTTGATGATGACTTAGATCCGTATGCATTTCTTCATAAGCCTTTTCTCTCTGTGCACAGATCGACTGGAGACTGCCAACAGACAGCTGTCCAGTAGGGAATATGACAGCCATGAAGACAGAGCCGTGGAGGGCCTGTATGCTTCTCAGAGTGAGTCTCCATGCTTATTCATCCCAAAGTTGGTATTTTTAAAACTCAGAGGCCTGAACAAAAAAATCATGTTAAATTTTAAGTAGGTTTTGTGCTGTGTGCTTTCTGTGTTTTAATTTAGCACATAAGCTATTGGGCCTCCTAGGTCTGCCAGAGATAATGCCAAAGTTATTAGGAATTATTTTGGTAATGTTTATTCTGACTTTTAACTTGGGCCACTTGAAGGATCACATCATATATCTGCATATGTGACTCTCGTTGCCAAAATCACTGAGCCCACATCTGGCCAGAATGAAATAAACAGTGTGCCTCCAGATTATTGGGAGGATATTGTGTTAATTTCACCAAAAGCAAATGAGAGGATCAAATGGGTTTTGAGAAACCATCGGTCAGGGTTAAAATTTCTGCAAATTCATTGTATAGGTCAGAAATGTAAAAATACATTTTTTTTAAAAGACTGTTTAGAAAACTGAATTCATTTATTTGGCTTAAATCTCAACAACATGGAGAGTTAAGTGTTTACGAACTAAAGACAGTTCAAGCAACAATGTCAGTTATCTGACATTGAACATCCATGCGGGGTGGTGGTAGTGAAATTCTATTGCCGGTCCTTCAATACAGCCCTGCATTTTCAAGGCAGGGAAATCATTGGTTAAATTTTTAGAGTGCAGTACTTGTGTTTGAGGTAAACTCCTTGTTCCCCCCATGTTTGCTCCTCCAGGGATTTGATCGCACTCCAGGGATTAGTCTCGGCTTCGTTTTTAAGTTTTGTTTTGGTGGATGGACACTAATGCTGTCCAGGGCTTTTCCATCAGTGCCTTTCTCGTCGTCTTGCAGCAGTTGACCTGCCCTGTGCTACAGGTTCCCATAGAGAGCTCCATCAGCATCTTGAATTATTTACTTTCCTACAGAATGGATCTCTTCTTGGGGGTACAGCAGATTTACCGCCTCCTCTGAGCTTTCCTTTGGAAAACGAATCACCTGTGGTACCTGCATGTAGCACCTGGCTGTCGGGTGATCAGCTGCCTGAGTAGAGTTGGTGTCCTTGTGGTAGTTTTGTCAGCAATGTCGCTCTGCTGATCCTCTGCCTTCTTGTCGGGGGATATTATTCTCTCACTTAGTTCAGGCCAATATGGGAAATCCAGTTAGTTCCATCTGATGGGCATTGGTTTTAGCCTCTTATCCCAGGCTGTGCTCATGGAATGATGGGGTTTGGTGTAATTCCAGCATAAAACCTAGTTGTGTTCCAAGACACCCAAGAACTTACCTCTCATTGTTGATGTTTCTATCTCTCTCTCCCTCTCCTTTCCTCAGTGAAATCAGTAAAAATACATTTTAAAAAATCATTCTTTTTAGCTCATATTTCCTCATCATGTTGGGAGATATACCCAACTTATTCTGTCATTTCAAGCCATTTGGAAAAATTATTTTTAAAACTGCTATCAGAATAGAAGCAACTTAAGAATGCTTGAATTATTCTTTGCTGGCCTTCTTCCCGCCTTCCTTTTTTTTCCGAGTAGGAGGATATCCAGGGAACCTTTCACTATTAGGTACTCTTCATGAAAATTGGTGTAATACAGTTGATCTCTGACTCCCTTGACTTCTCTTTTATTCTGATGGAGATGTGTTGGAGGTAACCGTTGGCTGTGATACGCAAAGGTTTTTGGAGCAGTGGGCAGATGCTCACACTGGCCAATCCGTGGACCATGCCAGACACCCAGACCCACCTGGGCAAAGGGGAAGGAATTGTCCGTGGAGCCTGCCAAGGTGGTATCATTTAAATCAAGAACATTTTCTTGCCTTAAGTTAATGGATCCTCTTTACAGATGACCCCTACATTTAGTGGGGCTGTGCAGTTCAATGAAGTGAACAGTTTTGCAGGCATGGCCTCAAGCAGATAATTTTGGATCAGTTGCTGCATCTTCTAAGGCCGGGCTCTCGCTGACATGCTCCTGACCTGAAGGTAGATGCCTGATCTCCCTGCAGTTCCATTTCCTCTAAACAGAGGGATAGATCTGCCAATTCAGCCAGCAGAGCTCTGAGGAAGAACCAGAGATAGCAAGTGTGAAGAAGACTTTATAAATCACCTTTCTTCTGCAACACTTCTTCCTGCTCCTTTCATCCTTCCTCCATCTATTTTAGCACTCACTTAGTCTGGAAGGACCTGCCAGTTTTCAGGGGTGGGGAATGGTCCGTGTTCCCAGAGAATGCTGGCATGGCTCAGCAAGCCTTCACAGATTTGGGAAGCAGAGCATGTGAATGCTTAAGCCACTTGTTCAATCTTGACAGGCAGCACTGAGGAACTTCAAACCCACATGACAGCCAGAAGTGCCCCAGAGCTTCAGGGTGTCTGTTTATGCTCCATCAAATCTTCTCCCCAAGTGTGAAAGTTAGTGTGACTCAGTGAGGCTGGTTGTCTGTGCTTAAAGGCCCGGAGCTGGTTAGAGAACTGTCTCCTGGTCACATGTTGGTATCAGGGCTCCAGCTAGTGCACATGACTTATGATTGATTGATTGGCTTGGCTTTCCTGATTGGAGATGGAATAGTCAAGTGTCTTAAACTTTATTACTGTCCCCGGTCCTTGCACTGCATAGCTAGTGGCATGGATGGGGTCAGCCCAGACTGGAAAGCATACTAGAGTTCATTCCCATTTCACGTGGCATCTGGGAGCCCTCATGAACGAACCTGTCAGTTCAGAGCCGGGAAATCCACATCCAGGTCTCAGCTCAGATGAAATGGCAGTTGCTCGAGGAAGTCCTGAGATAGGACCGGATCTTCCTTTTATTTAATCCTGCAACATCCTGTCCTTTTTCCTTTTTAAACACGCAGCACAACTGTGAATAGTAACTGTTGGCTGTGCTTGTTCTATCTTTCCTGACTAAATTGCATGCACCAGGGGGCAGGGGCCCTGTCTGACACCCTCACCTTTGTGGTCCCATCTCTTGTGTTTCCAGAACCTGGCACTGAGGGGGCATTTCATAAATATTTGTTGGGTATTGAATGAGGTGATAGCCATTACTATTTATTCCGTTAATGGGCTACTTCCTGTGAGCTAGCTGTGTTCCGGGCCACAGGGCAGCAGACGTTTTCTGTGAAGCGCCAGGTGGTAAGTGATCTCAGGCCACAACCACTCAGCTCTGCCCTGTAGCCGAAAGCCCCACAGATGGTTTGTAAACAAGTGGGAGCGACCGAGTTCCAGTGAAACGTTATTTATGGAATCAGGCTGTGGGTGGACCTGGCCTGCAGGCCATAGCGGGCTGACCCCTGTTCCCGTCATGAAAGGAAGAGAAAGAAGGAACCTGAGCATACGGAGGATGAAAAAGAAAGAACTGCAGAAGTTCTCTAGGTCTTATTTTGTAAATTGCCTAATTTATAAATTGGGATACAATTGGTATTCTTTCCTGGGAGAGTTTCATGGTCATTTTATATATACAATGAGTAGCCAGATTATTATGATCTCTGAACACATAATAAGCTGGCACTCAGTATATATCCTATATATCGATAATAAAAGGCTAATATGCAAATTCTCCCCTTGACCAGGAGTTGCAGGCAGGTCGGCCAACCACCTATGTCCTCCCCCTGGCCAGGCTGGCCGGACCCCACCCATGCACGAATTCATGCACCAGGCCTCTAAAAAACAAATTATTTATATATATATATATTTAAAAAATTATGTGTGTGTGTGTATTATACACACACACACGAGGGGGCAGATTATTATGAATTCAGAGATCATAATAATCTGGCCACTCAGTGTATATATTTCAGAGAGGAAGAGAGAAAAATCAGTGATAAGAGAATCACTGATCAGCTGCCTCCTGCACGCCCCCTACTGGGGATCGAACCCGCAACCAGGAATTGAATCGTGACCTCCTGGTTTATATGTTAATGCTCAATCATTGAGCCACACCAGCTGGGCTCATGGTCATTTTTTCCTACAGCCTTAATCAGGTGAGCATACCATTTTCATTTTAGATGAACAGACATATGCAAATGTAGTCACAAACCCTAGTTACCCATTTGGGATCCAAAATTGGCTAATGATGAAAGATAGGGCTGGACAGGACTGGCCCTAAGGTTTGTAGTTACAGCTGGATAGTGAGGTCTTTAGTGGTGCCTCTCAGCAGTGCCAGGTGTCTTATCATAAGTGTCCTACTGTGAGATGAGGTCTGCAGATCTTAAATGCCAGAGTTGGGGAGGTCCTTAAAGGTCACAGGTCTGGCCTCTACAGTGCATGCGTCCTGTGAACTTGAGCTCATCAAGAGGCCATTTGATCACCACTGGGAATGACAGTTTCTCCAGAGGCTGTTGGTCTGATGGTTAAAAGTTTATCCTCGGGTGGAGTTGCAGGGTGGTTCCCTTTTGCCTCCCTTTTAGGTTCCGGTTCAGTTTGGCCTGCTGTGGTCATTTTACAACAGTAATGGCTGCCAGCACTCACTGAGCACTTTCTGTGAGCCCAACGCTCAGCTAGCCTCTGCGGGTGCATTGTCTCTAGCTGGTGAGGGCGCCGAGGCACACAAAGGTGGAGTAACTTGTCCTGGGTCCTCAAGCTGGTGAGTAGAGCACACGGGTTTTGAACTCAGGCCATTCTGAGGCCGGAGCCCAGAGTCATACTGAGCTGCTTCGGGGGAGCTGTCCCTGTGCTGGAGAGGTGGAGAGACGTGTTACTGTGCGAGGTGGCAGCTGTGGACTCCCAGTGGTGTTAGACTTCATTGAGCGTGGCCTTCATGTTTCACTGACGAAGAAACTGCAACCAAGAGTGATCGAATGGTTTGCCCTTAGTCACCTCTGTTGGCTCTGGGGGTGATGAAAAATTTCACATTTTACCCCTAGAAGTGTCAGGGAAGTAAGTGAATGTTAAATAATTTTTGTGCTAAAAGTCTTCTTTGGATTCAAATTATTTAGCCCAGTACTATGACTTTGTAGTAATGTACTCATTTCTTCGCGGATGAGTTCCAACTATTGGAATTCGCAATTTGTCCTTCTGATTTCTACAT